CCCCCCCCCCCCCCCCCATGTCATGTGTCGTGTTTGGGTGTAGCAGCTAATCTCTGACACTGGGGATGTACGTGCAAAGGAGAAAGGAGAGGCAGGGGAGCGCTGGCAAAGTGAGTGTCATGAGGGGAAGGAGGTTCTCCCTTGCACAGACACTATCCTAAATGGAAATGGTATTGGATAGAATGCAATGGGAAAAAGGAGATGTCACTGACTTGGCTATGCTGTCTGGTATGGGTACTTAAATCAAAGGACTAGGTTAACATATTTACAAATCCTCAGGCAAGTAAGAGTTCACATATTTACTTCCCCAGTATATTTAGCCTACAAATGAGCCATAAACAAAGCCAATTCCACATTAAAATGCATTATTTTACTTGTGAGACAAAACAGTATCCTGGTACAACTCTCAAGCAAGGTCTCCATGCAAAAGATAAACAAATTGAAACTTACTGTCCTTTATCACTGCCAGCAGAAAAGAGAAGAAAGTAAATCATATTAAATAACAAATAATATACAGTGCCATATCAAATTTAATTGCTGAAAAGAAACAATGTTGCTATAAAAAAGGGTTACATGAGTAAATAAAATACCAATTTATATACACATTTTTCCTTGTATCACTTGTTTCAATTAACATAAAATTGCCTCATGTTTCTTCTAAACACCGCTGTCTATACAATTCTGTCTGAACACACATCCATATTTCTCCTATGAAGTTATAATATCATAAAGTATTGTGTGCCTGTAAAGAAGTTTATGTTTGCAGGCCAGGTGCACACATGAAGGCAGGTGAACCTTTGGAAAATGGTAGCACAATTGATCTCATTCATTGGATCTCATTAAAAATAAAAAGCCGTGTTTGTGTTTTTTTATGCACTATGAGGACAAAGCTTCTGGATATACATATCTCTGCCAGGGCTTTTAATCCTGCTGAAGAAACACTATTAAGCCTGTACAGTGTGCAAAGTACAATAGCCTATAGCAACTATACTTAAAGTGTGTTCACTTTTGCAACCAAATAGGGATAATAGCTAGTTTGTTTTTTTTGTCACATGTTCCCATTCACATCGCATAAACTAAACAAATATATAAAAAATGCAATTTAACTTGCTTTTACTTGGGATAGGGTTTCCACTTGGTTTCTTAAGGGTTAAAATTTCTACTTGCTTCTCTTTCTTTGTAATGTTAGGAGGGGTTGAGAGTGGTTTATGTCAACCCTATCTGTACTGTGCTGACTGATTTCATTACAATTTGTAAAGTAGAGTTGAACACTGTCTGTCCTAACAAACGGTTAAAGGATTAACAGTTTGGCTTCTGCGGTGTATGTTAACAAGAAAAACACATTCCTGAGTTTTGTCAGGTTTTATATTTTTACTTTTTGTGTTCCCACTAGGGAAGCTGACCCCCTACTTCCTTGCACAGTAACACAATAGGGCTGATTTATAGGAGCTTCACCCAATGTATAGCTGGGCGAGCACCATTTGCATGGCATTACTGCCACTAGATGGAGCCCAGGAACATATAAACCTCCTATATTCCTATGACCTCTAATGACAGTGATGGCATGTGAATGGTGTTCACACAGCTATACGCTGACCAAAACGTTTATAAATCAGCCCCTATGTGTGTCAGTATGTAACATGGCATCACCAGGACTAGAAGTCAGTGAAAATCTCCCTGTGAGAACACAGATTGTTACAAATGTGCAGAGATTCTAATATTTCTACATTATACAATGTCCATCTGACTACAAATCTGTTTGTGACTTTCATTGGTCTTATCCTCCTAATACACAGAAGTCCTCTTTAAATATCAGGGATCAATGGAAGAAAGAAGGAAATGAAAGACAAAGCAAGGTATCCCTATCTTGCACATGGATGAACCTGAAGTGATATCGGCACTGATACGTTTTTGCATAGATAATATGCTGGTTGATTGAATCAAAGGGAAGGCAAACAACCGATAAAAGTTTCAGGAGGTAAACTGTAAACTACTTTGGCCTCTGGAATTTCTTAATAGACTATATGCTATTTCCGTCTAAAGAATAAAGTTTATCGCATTAGATAAACAGGCATCAGTTGTATAGTGGAGTTGATGAGTTGATAAGTACATACACACAAAAAGGGAAGAAAATGAAATTAAAAAAATAAAGATGACAGAATGAGGGAGGGCAAAATGAGTGGAAGATCAAAGATGAACTGGAGGAAGGAGAGATATATGGAGAAAATTGTTTTTTCAACAAATTATATATAAACAAAAGTACATCGTTTGGTAAAACAGAACATATAAAAAGGTGCTAGAAAAGGAAATAGAGAGGGGAGGGATAGAAGAAGAACCTACATTTTATAGAACCCAAATCCATATAAAGAGACATAGCACTCACTAAATGGATCAGTTGGAAGCACAGTAATACCAGCAATAAGAGCAGCAATTTTTTACATTCTCAGGACATGGATTGCAAACTCTAATCATCAGAATTTCCCTTGTTATGTAAAATATATGTCCCAGAGGGCCAGCAGTCTTCCCAGGTTTGTTAGACTAAGTTCTTACAAGAGTGGTCAGGAAACTCCGGCCCTCCAGCTATGCTTTTACTACAAATCCCTCTGCCTCCGGGAGTCAAGCCTGTAACTGTCAGTCTTGCAATACCTCATGGGACTTGTAGTTCCACAACAGCTGGAGGGCTGGAGTTGCCCAGCCCTGCCTTAGTGTAACAGAATGCAAGCCCAAAAAGACATGGTTTCCCTCATTAGAAGGACAGGAATCTCCCCTGCTGTACCTCATGGAGTTGTACATTGTGCATCTACATACTGTACATAAAGAAGAGAAGAAAATAAAATGGAAATTAAAGATGTAGTAAGTCAAAATGACTTGTTATATATGAACATAATGTTTTACCCTTGAATGGCTGATGCTCATTAAAAATAAAGAAAAATAAAAGAGAACCAGAGAAGGAAAAAAGGGAAGAACTAAGGTCTTTATATGACTGCAAATGAGTACTCTATCTTCCCCTGGAATGACAGGTGTGTCAGAAAAAATTTTGCACAGATAATATACCCTCTCAGGACTTAGGCCCCGTTCCCACTGCGCGATATGCAAATTGCGCGTTTGTCGCGCGATTTGCATATTGCGCGACATCGCGAGATTTGCCGCGCGATGTCGCGTTCAAGCTTGCATTGAGCAAGCTTGAATCGCGGCTAAATCCACTCCAAAAAGGGTCCTGCTGTAGCGACACACGACCCGCGACAGCAGGACCCTTTGCCCCATTGGATTGCATTGGACAGCGATATCGCGCGGTAATTTGCCGCGATATCGCGGGAATTACCGCGCGATAAATCGCTCAATGTGAACGGGGTCTAAAGCTGGCCATGCATGCAGAATGATTGCTTGATTCTCCCGTCCATGCTAAACAATGTGGATGGAGGAACCTCCCCTGCCAGCTTCTGTTTTCTGAAAACTGGCACCCCCGGCTGTCAGAATACCAAAACCATGACTTCTGCTGACTGACTTCATTCACTGTTTGGCTGACAATTTTCCAACCGGCTTGAAGTTTGTCCAGCCGTGGGGTTCACGCGAATCGGCCAAAATTATAACAGGGTATGGACATCTACTAGGAATTGTAATGGGATCTATTCATACATTGGTTTGTAAGTCCTAAAGGATGAGGCTTTCTCTGTAGATTATAAGCTCCTATGATCAAGAATTCCCTTGTTGTCATAGTAGACTGTAAGTTCTCAAGTACAGACAGTCTTATTAGAATGTTAACTCTGTTGGGCAGGGAACCCTTGATATATTACAGTGTGAATGCTAATCTCAAATGGGCAGGGATGCTCTCATTACATGAACAGTTTTACATAGTTGAGCTGATGAGCCTCTATTGTTACACATATACAATTTTAAGGACGAAGAAAAAGAATATTGAAAGCAAAAAAAGAGAAAGCCAGAATATAAATTAATGGACAGTGAAAGGGTGAGAAGGAAGGGCAAAACCATCCACACATGCGTCGTTGTAAAAATGAAGTACACCACATAATTCTTTTTATACCTGCAATAAATGTATCTCATGTACACTACTAAGTCCTTAAAAGAGAACTATGGGGTCATGGCTTTTCCCCATAGTTCTCCTAAGGGTAACGGGAGGATACAAACTAGCATCCTCCCTTCACCCAAAGCTCAGTATACCGTGAGCTACAGCTCGCGGTATACTGAGAAGCTGCAGCGGGGATGGATCCCAACATCACTGTCTGGATCCACCCAGCTGCGTGATTGACAGCTGGCTCTGCCTATCTAGAGGCAGAGTCAGCTCTACCCACCCCATCCCCCGTCCTTTCCGCCAGTCAGCGCTGGAGGATCAGACAGGGGAGGGGGGGAATCCCTGCAGGGAGCCGTGAGTGACAGTCACGGCTCTCTGCAGGGACAGGATCGAGAAGTGAACGAACGACGGTATGTGTTCGCTCACTTCCCGATCTATTGAGCTGACATGTAACAGTTTCATTGTCACAGGTCGGCTAGAACTACGAGGCTGAGTGATTTTCACTCGCCTCATAGTTCTCCTTTAAAGGCAATCAAACGTTGTTGATCAGGGTGGGGCTGACACCCTTAAATTTAAGCCATGTATGGCCAGCTTAAGAGCTCAGAATTTGGTTTTTTTTTTGTCCCTACTATACACTTGCTAAATAAACCTATAGTTTGCCCACACTATGAATATATCTGAATATAAACATAATTTGGCCCACCCAACAGAAAAACAGTCACATGAAGAAATGGCGTTAAAAAGAGGAAAGGAAAAAATGACAAGAAAGCTGCTTTCTTCAATACCAATGAGCTTGAAGTGATATATAGGAATGTATCACTATTGGGCTGCTATAGTAAAAGGTATGTAATATGTGGCCTACTTTAAACACTACCAGGCCCTAGATTGTTCGCTCTTATAAACAAGAATTCCTTTGACATATCTTAGACTGTATTTCATACATTCAGCCACATTACACTGTAAGCTCCTGCAAATCTCTAGGTATATTAGAACTGAACTCTTACACAAATAATACATTCCATTAGGTGAACAAGCATACAAGGAAGGACAGAAAGAAAAGAGAGAAAGGAAAATGGAAAGATTTAGGATGGCAGCAAGGGAAATGAAGAGAAAACCATATTTGTCAAATATAATCACATGTCTAATTTATAGTTAAGCTCCCTTATCACAAAACGTTTAGCAGTTTTATATAGTAAACATAGAGTCTCCTTCTGCATTCCCATTGAGCTTTCTAAAGCAATTTGGAGTCCTGTAGCCATTTACCCAGATGGAATGTAGACAGTCACCGGCACTCTAGAGTGTTTTGTTGGGGTTTTTTTCATCATTTTATTGTGAAAGCATGTCGCAAAGTAAATGCCGACATTTAGGAGCCTCCTAAGACTCCTTCTTCAAGTGAGTATACTATGTTGCCATGGGGATCAGCCTGTGTAAG